TTATTCAAAAAAAGAAAAATTGGAGTAGCTTTCATTGATTAATGTTAGCTGATGTAGTTGTAGAGGCTGAGATGGAAACAGATATCGGGACGGACCCAAAGAAGTACGAGAGACAGAGCACTTAACTGTGTCATACCTAAAATATTCACCCTTTCAATAGTTTTGTTTGGACTTATTAGAATACTGACTCAATACCAATGTTAAATGATACTTGGTTGATATGACCAATATGTACAAGTTGATAGGATCAGTACGTATTGATTTCTTTATTAAATTGAAACAATATATGATTTAATTTTTTTGGTTAAATTTCATTAATTTTGGTCAAATGTTGATGTATTAATTGATATTTGTCGTACTAGTTCGATACATCAAAAATTGATTGGTATAAATCAATTTAAATTTAAAAAAAGATAAATTCCATTTTTGATCTTTAATTTTAATATTTTACATAATTTTATCATTTAATTTTTTTATCTACTTTTTTAGTCCATCAACTAAGAAAAATATATTTTTTTAATCTTTTTATTAATTACTCTGTTGAGTTTGTCCAAATATACTCATTCTTAATCTCTTAACTTAAAGTGGAGAGATGAAAAATATGCATATATTAGAAATTAAATTTTTAATCCTTTTGACAATTTCAAATTTAGATTTCTAGTTTTGTACTCACTAGTTACTACTCTTTCTTCTTAATAATGTTTGGTTTGTCTTTTGCATTCTTGTTATACTCAAAAGACATGATTTCTATCATTGTGGAAGTATTTTATATTGTAAATTATATAATATTAAACTCAGAACACTATTATGTTTTCTAATATTATTTTAATGTTCATAAAAAAAATTATAGATGTTTTATAAAGTTGACCATTTTAAATTTGTTTTTAATTTATAGGAATATAATGGTTTTAAACATTGGTTTATTTTATCATTATTTTAAATTTTGATATTTAATTTATAAAAAAATATATTTATAGCGATAAATTCGAAACGGTATATGAAAAATTTCGATATCTGATATATATCGTTTCAATAACAAAACCGATATGTATGTCAGACAACTTTGCTCAACACCGATAGTGGAGTTTCTATCTAATTTCAAGTTCACACAGAAAAAGCCTTTCAAGGATAAAGAATCACTCAATGAGCTGGACAAGTATAAATAGAATATGGTCCTGGCTCTCATAAATTATGGTTATAAATATTCTATAACTACTATATTAAAGGTGATGGAATACTCAAATCCACCTCTAAAATATAATGATAGGGACAAATTCACTCTCAAACAAAAAAAGGGATAAATATACCTATAAAGTTTTCGATTTAGACAAATTGCTTTGAATTTAACTTATGACGTCATTTGATGTTAGTAATCAATTAATAATAAACTTATTAATGATATAACAAATTAATGAATTATTGACGTCAGATAACGTCGTCATACGTTAAATTTAGACTCATTTGTCTAAGTTAAAAACTTTGTGGGTGGATTTATTTCAGTTTTTTGTTTGGAGATGGATCCATCCTTATTACTATACTTTGAGGTGAATTTGGGTATTTTACTTATTAAAGGTAATAATTACTTTCATTTATTTTTTTTTATTTTTTTGTATTTTTTAATTGACAACTTTTGTCTTGAATTTTTATTAATTATTTTTAACTTAAGTATTAAAATGTCTTCTTCAAAACATCCTCAAAGCCCCTTTTTAGTACAAATTAATAAGGTATGGTATTTATCCAAATTAATAAGGTATTTTTAAATAAGAGGTGTATCCAAACACAATACTCACCCCAAATCCTAAGAGCACTCCTCCCACTTGAACGAGATACGTTCCAAGAAATTAATTTTCTTGGCACTAATTTCAATATATTGAAATCTAAATCTAACTAATATAACATTTACTTATTAGTTAATCTCATTTTGGAATTTGGAAATGGAATCCAGTGACCTCTGCTAAAAAAATGTTAAAAGCCACCAAAATTATTTTGAAATAATGATAAAATAAACTAATTTTGTGGGACTAAAATTTAAAACTAATGTGCTACATAATTTAAAATACTAAAAGATAAATCTTATTTTATTTAATAATTAACTTTTTTATTTTATTGAAACTTATAACATTATATATATTAAATTATTTAATAATATGTTACATTGTTAGTTCCAAATCTTTGTTTTTTTATATAAGCACTCATTATTTTAATATTGCCTTTCAGACACTAGTATTTAAGGAAAATATTGGTGACTTAACACTTTTTTTTTTATAACAATGACCATTCGTATTGTGAAGAGCAAAATAATTTAAATGAGAATACTATAATTA